AAAAAACAAGACAAGAACAGCAGACGGACTGAAGAAAGAGAAGGGGAGGGGACACGTAGATGGATGTTTTACTTTCTTGGCATTCAGTTAATACTTTAAAGTGGCTTACAAAGTGTTATTGTTGAAAAAGCTTCAGTCTGTACATCAACATGACAAGAAAAGAGCAACGTAGAGGGATATCATTGATTTTTTGGAATGAGGGAATGGAGGGACCTTTCCTGACCCTAACTCACAATGTTTTCATATCAACATAGGACAATCTTACTTCTTACTTACTTGAGTGTTTTCAGTTTGATTGTAAGAGCCAAGATATACTCACAGCTTTTCCCAGGAGAAGTGAAGAGCAAGCAACACTACAACAAAAAGGATTCATGTATTTGTTTTTGTGTTTCATCGCTGAATGCTTAATGTGTTTGTGCTGTTTCAGTATCAGATCGTATGATGTACATTAAAGGTCCAGTGTGTAGGATTAAGTGGCATCTAGCGGAAATCAAATACTTTTGAATACAGCTCAGCCTTCCAAGTGTGTAGGACAAACTACGGTGGCGTTTTTTTTTTTACCGGAGCCAAATTATCAGCGCAGGCCTCCTCCTCTCCAAAATAAACTGACCCGGTGATTAAAACACTGAATAAAGCAGATTCACCTTAAAAATCAGTGTTTCTCCGATGCTGATTAACAATGTCCTGGATAACATTAACTCAGCTTGTTTTTCTGATAACTTAAGATCAAGGCGTCGGATGACTGCAGTCCTTTATCCTTATCCTTTAAACGACCAAGATCTAAAAAGTGTAGTTTACAAATCTGGCTGATAACTGGATAAAAATTAAATTTATGACAACAACACTGAGGCATTCTCAAAGGGCATTGACAGGCGAACCAAATATTTCTCTCATATATGACATAAACATCAGTTCTTGTTGGTTGTGTGTGTGTTTCAGAGGGCTCCCCATTAAGCTGGTGGCTCGGCGGTTCCGGTCCTGGTCATGTCCAGACTTATTGGGGTGGAGCTCAACCAGGCAGCCAGCAGTGTGCCTGCGGGCTGCAAGGCGACTGTGTGGACCCACAACACTACTGCAACTGTGACGCCGACCGCGTGGAGTGGTACTGAAATTAATGAACACATACATGTTCTTATGTATTTTTCTCTTATAGTCACAAATTAAAGGCTGTTTCAGAGTTGAGTGGGACAGAAAGTCAAAATGCTCTGTTGCTTATCATTTTGAACAAGCTGGACATTTTTATCAGTCTGGATTTTTAACCAATCTACCATATACATTTACCATACTCATTAAAAAAACATGCTGAAGAGGTATAGGAAAAAACATTTGTTGCAATTAGACCTCATCATTAATGTATTACTTGCATGCAGTGGCAACCCCTAATATAAGGCCAGAATAAGAAATTCCCCTGATGGGTGTTGGACACTGTTGGTGCTGCAGATCTGGAGATGATATGAATATTAATAACGCAATATGGCCAAGTACAATATGCAAATTGCAGAATCAATATGCAAATCGCAAGAGCTGCTATGTTTTAATAAAGGTAAATTGTGTGACAAAATAACATTACAATGAAGCACCGTAATACTGCAGAGATGCCTTGGCCTACAAATCTTGTTGAAAGTTTGGTACAGATGAAACATTATTCCCACAATAATAGTAAATCATATGGCAATCTCAATATCTGTCAGAACAATCGCAATATTATGTTTATACCATACCGTGCATCCCTAATTGAGAAGTAGCCTTTTTTCACCCTTTTTTAGGGCGCTAAATCTGACTGATGACTGTATACCAGCAGACATTTTTAGCAAACTGTCCCAGTTTTACTTGTAACTTGGGCGGTTAAGCAAACAAAAAACTTGTCTGGGATAAATTGAGCAGAAAAAAAAAATACATAACAGTTTTAACCTTTCCTCATGTTGTAGGCAATCCTACCTTTGCCTCCTTCCTTCCATCATTTCCCAGTCCTAACTGTGCAACACCGGCTCTATTTTTACAGACCAGAGCTACCACTGCTGCTCTTCAATATTTCATCAGACTCACAAAGTGCTGTGTACACTCCTCGTTTCCAGTCCTTCCAGTCCTCTGGATGTATTTTTATACACAACTTTCCTCAGCAACAAGGCTAACAGGCGGATTATCTTAAGTGCATAAAGCTCCACGTGGGCGTAAATGGACAGGAGGTGTCTTGTTTTGGGAGCTGTTCCAAAAAGTGCCAGGGATGGATGTTGACTGTCAGCATGGGTATAATTCAGTTTTGGAATAAATAGGTCCCCAAGAGATTGCACCTACACGCTGCAATGTTTACATCAGCTAGTTACAACGTGTAATATTGTCACAAGGGTGATGTAACTTTAAAAACAAACACACCAATAACTCTATGTATGCAAAATATCATAGTTTGAGGTTTGTGAGTTATGTTGATTATGCACATCCACCTTTCTTCTTTTACATATTAATATTCTCTTGATCTTCCTCCCTCCCTCTTTACTTTTTTCTTTTTTCTCATCTATCTTCCTTTTTGCTTTGCCTCTCCTCCTGCTTTTTGTTGAACTTCTCCACCATCATCATCCATTACCTCACCTGCTCATCACCTTCCCTCTTCTTTTCTTTTTTCCCGCAGGACTGAAGACTCTGGCCTACTCACCCATAAGGAGAGCCTCCCAGTCAAGTCTCTGGTGCTGGGTGACATCCAGAGTCCGGGGTCAGAGGCCGCCTATAGGGTGGGACCGCTGCGTTGTCATGGAGACAGTACGTCCGGTCCAGTTCTTCAGTTGCCTAGTTACACATGATAATAAGATGACTGAAATCTTCCTTTTATGGAAATCACTGTTGCATGGCTGATATAAGAGCTTTGGTCAAACGAAAAACTGAAAGCTAAATCCTCATCGACTGGCCAAGAAATTCTTAGAAAATAATAGTTTAACATTCTATTTGCTCTTTTGGTGGAAAGTGAAATGAGAAGGTAGATGTTGTGTAGCTACTGCCAGCAGCTGATTAGCTTAGCATAACAAAAAGACTGGAAACAGAGGGCCAACAGTAGCCTGGCTCTGTCTAAAGGTAAATGGTAAAAAAAAGCAGCTTTTAAACATCTCTTAAGTTCATGAATTAACATGTTATGTCTAATTTATTTAAAATGTGTATAAAATGTTGAACTATTCCTTTAAGTAATGTGTGAATGGGGAAAAAATAATAATCAAAAGCTAAATCATATAAAACCCTAGGAGTCCTTAAGGATTTTAATACAGCTGGTAACCTGACTAAGCATTATTTGTTGTTGTTCACCAATCAAAGTGAACATTCTTTCTTTCCTCTTAAATTATTTCATAATTGCCATTTTTAATTACCTGTTTAAATTAAAAAGTCCCTAATTAACTTAACAGGTTGCCTAATTTGTTTGCTACGTGATTTCCATATAAAAGATCTTGATGGCGAGTGTTTATCGTGTTTCTCAGAGAACTTCTGGAATGCTGCGTTTTTCGACAAGGAGACGTCATACCTGCACTTTCCCACCTTCCACGGAGAGCTGAGCGCAGATATCTCCTTCCTGTTTAAAACCACAACCTCGTCTGGTGTGTTCCTGGAAAACCTGGGCATCAAAGACTTCATCCGGATCGAACTGAGCTGTAAGTAGGAGCTGGAGGATGAGGACTGAATCTAAATCAAACACAGTTAAAGGGAATATACGTGTTTCTATTATAGAAAAGTTCCTTTGTGAATACTTCATAAAAACATTAATTTATCCTTTAACTCTTGAGGTTGGATGAAACTGGCAGTTACATGTTTTATTAACAGGCTGGTTTGTATGGAGTTTGTGTTTTCTTCTGATGCTGCTTGCATGTTTCCATCATTTTAAGCTGCTTTATGTTGTATTGTATGTTGTTTTCCAATCAATTTTCTCCCGCCACAGACCTCGGTTGAATATACTGCACGTTATACGCCGCTGTGCATAATGTATGCTAGCCCACATGGGACAACACTGTATTCACAACACAACAAATGAAAAATGTACCAAAGAAGAAATCCATAAAAAGGAACTCATGATCCTTGCAGGTTTCTTTTTGCACCCTCGTTTTTAATTTTACAGTTTTATGAACTCTCAGGGACATTTTAGCTGTGACCCTTCATTAATTCCTGTCTCTTGTGGGATTCACGCATTTACAAGTGCTATAGTGCCTCATTTAGATTATGACAGCAATAACCAACAGGGTGTTATTTAGTTTATGGGTGCCATGGAAATGTGGCCGGCTGTGAGATGTATGTTTATAGCCTACCATATATTGTGTCATTTAAAATATAGCTGTAATACACAACAAGGTGTCCTTGTTGTGTATATGGTTATGACAGTATTGCGGAGGGTATGAGGTACACATTTATGGGCAGCAGTGGTGTGTGACATTAAGGGCAGCTTGTATAAATGCCTTAAAGCAGTTATTAGAGCCCTTTTAAAGATCATTCACTTCACTTTACCTTTTCAGTTTAGTTTAGTTTGTTGTTTTCTGTTTCTTTTTATGTTATGTTGCATTTCGGAGGGAGTTGTTGTAGAAATGGGATTTGAAGGGACACACAGAGAATCTAATACAAGGACACTGCTGCACCAACTGCCTCTCTCCTCGGGGAAATCATTGTCAGTGTGGTTGTTCCAGCTCTGAATACTGCTGCTCTGTTGCCGGCTTCCTCAGATCGCTCTGTAACACTGTGGCTGAGCCTGAGAACAATTTCAAAAATGAAGTTACTATAGGATGCTGGGATATTGTTTCATCTTGTTCTGTTCTCCCATACATCCCCACCTTCCACCAGCACAACATGAAGGATGATGGTTAGCTTGGCCTGCATTCTCTTAAATCTTTTTGCTGCTGGTGGAGAGAACAAAGAAAAAGCTGAGCAGACATCCTGATAGGGAGCTAATACAGACGCTCAGCACGGAGGAGCTGTCCGTGGTGCTGAAACAGGCCAGCGCCAACAGAGCCCAGGAGCTGGCCGTGGTCCTGATTCATGATGCTGCTGCTCAGAGAGAAACTTTACCGAGTGCAGCTGTAGAAGAATTTTTCAATAAATACAACAAAACAACAAAATAAAATTGTATATTATTAACAATAGTCCACTATACATGAAAAATTCACTTTATTAAATTAGAAATATTTTTTTTTATATATATTAATTACTTATTATGCAGAATGGCCTCTTTTAGAGTTTTAGATTATCAGTGCATTATAATTCGAGTACAATTTTAATGTTGTATCATTTAAGTGTTTTAGTTGCAGGTGCATGCTATATCTGGGGTAGCAAGGGTAGCTTAACCAATGGCAATGTTTCACAACAAACTGACTAGTTCGATGATGACGCATTCTCAGTCACAATGTCAATCTGGTCTCTACGTAAATGTAGCTGAGGAGAAAGATAATTCCTTTCCAAATGTACTGAAGTATACCTCAAAAGTATATTCTAGTACTTTAGTACTTAAAGCAACGTACTATTCCTCGGTTTTCTTAATACTGTACTATTATTGTACTATACTCTGTTTGTAGCCGTTATTGCAGAGCCAACACTTTTAATCTGAAACAATACATTATATTTTATGGATCATCTTCATGTGTTTTTATAAAATCTCTGTTTACAAGAGTACAATATTTCCCTGACATGAAGTGGACTATATATATGAAGTAGTATAAAATAATCCTATTATCCATTAAGTACCTAAAAACTATACAAGTGCAGTACTTGAATGAATACTGCCTGAGAGCAAGAAGCCCAGAATAGAATCTCCACCTGCCTCTACTTGGGAGGTTGCTTGTGTGGCTTTTTTCCTTTCAGATTGCAAGTTCTTCCACGTAATCAGTTTATAACTTCTTGCCAGACTCTCTAGTCTTGTGTTTGTTGTTGTCCTGTGAGAACTATACCTAGTCTGCTTAGTTAGGAGCTCTGTTGGCTTTTGTGTTTGTTATTTTGCTGTGAAAGAGTAATTAAACCACATCCCAGGGAGCACCCCCCCCCCCCCCCCCCC